TTTTTTTTTTTTTATAATTTTATCGCCTTCCTTATCTACTCGGTGCAGTGCAACACAACCCAACAAAGTCCATCTCTAGTGGCTTCCCTAATAAACTTTTTTTCACGAGGACAGGGTGGAAAATGAAAACCCATCAATATAGTGTGGCTTTTTGATGGAGCATTTTGGCTGTGGGAACAAAAAAATCTCCACTTTCATTGGAATTTATTTGCCTAGTAGAAGTTGAGAATGTAGTTGGAGTGGAACGTGAATATCAAGAAGATGGCTTGAGGAGAATAAAAAATAAAGGCTGAATTAAAGTTGAGCCACGTAGTAGTTACATTTTCTTTAACACAAAATTGGTCTGTAAAATACTCACGGTTAGTGGCAAACGCCTCCGAGATACGACGATTTTTGATTTGTATATAGTGGTATTTTAAATGTACAAGCCTTCGGCTTCGAACAATACTATTGTGTGGAACTCTCAAGGCTTAATGAAAAAGTCAAAGGACACATATGCTTTATGAACTTTGAAAATGTAATACAAGAGCTTTTTGTTTTATAGTTTTGAATGATTTCATGTATTTGAGTATTTATAAAAGTAGGAGAACGCCTCCACCATGTTTAAGTATCAAAAGACACATTTTGAGACGTATCCGAACGAGAATGGACGCATCTAGAAACCAAAAGACACCATATGGTGACCAAAGGTCGCGACCCTCCACTGGCAGAGGCCAACTGCGCGTCCGTGCGCAGCAGTCTCGTACAAGCTCATCCGAACTCGGAATCGAGCTCTGCTTTTTCCTACTCATCTTCAACAAATTCTTCTAGGGTCATAGCATGCAAGATACATGATCAGGTCTCGTTTGAATTATCTTAATATTCGTCAAAGATGAAATTTTTCGCGAATCCTATAATTTGAGTTACTTAAACTCAATTACTTCAATCGCAACATTTCCCACATATACAATTTAAATATAATTTCTTATTCACCTCAAAATATTTTTGAGGTTTTTGTAAGTCTTTCACTTGCGAAAAATAAAATCGTAAAATCGGTTCAATACTATTTCTTTTTTTACAATCCCCCACATGAATGAATTTAATGCATGTATGCAATACTTGAGAGTTCCGAAGAACCGTCATTGCATTGAGAGATAGCTTGTGGCTTTGAATCTTTAACAATTTTTTGTTCTCACGTTATGTCCATTACGATCCTTGACCATATCTCGGTTTAGTAAGTATTCGATTGAAGCGGCCTATTTACTTCTCGCTTACAAAGGTGATTCTCCTATAGATAGTATCATTTCTTACTCCACCTTAGGTGTGAGAATTATTAAAAGTCCTCGATTTAATCTCACCGTTTAGGTAGATTTTAACACTTGACGGTTTTAAAATGAGCAAACAAATTTCAAGCGTTTCACTGAACTGTCAAAACTTACTTTTTTCATTGAACCACAGTTCCAGGATCTTCAGTTCTTATGGTTGGGTTACCGCTAATACTGTTCGTTTATCGTGGATTTTGTTAAGCTCATTCTCTTAACCAGTTTGTACAATTTATCTCGTTTCAAATTTTTTGTAAAAGAATTTGTTAAGTTAATCTTTAACTTCACTTAGTCAGCCAATATAACCCTCGCACGTGACAATTTTCTTATGAAATTAAGTCTTTCACGTCTATGTCTAGACTTACTATTGTACAAACTACTTGGTGTTCTTCCAATTGGTCACAAATAGTCATCATGGTTATATATATATATATATATATATATATATATGTATACACTGTATGAAAACCTGAGACTAATTCCTAATTTTTTAATCTATATTAAATGATAAATTTTAAGTTCATTTCATATATGTAATATTAAGTAATAAAATTACTAATATTTTAGAAGTCATTTTTTTTATATACATAAATATGAATTTTAAATCGAAGATCGTAAAATGAAGGTTAATCTATATCATATAAAAATGAATTGATAGAAAAAAAAAAATTAAAAACAAAAGGACATTAATACTTAATAAGGAAAATGAAAATAAAATAAAAATCAGACAACAATATGGAAAAGTGAAAGTGGCATCTTTTAGACTACTTTTTTTTTTTTTCCAACGGATAAATTTTGATTGCTCAGAAACAGAACAACTGTTTTACATTCGGGCACTTCAACTGAAGTAAAAACCAAAAGGGGGATGTGAATATGCAATTCCATCCCCTACTTAAGCAAAACTTATACAAAATAAGTCAGCTAACCATACTAGAAGGAATATATACAACCAAAAGAGAGGTCAAAATATTTACAACTCCACACTAAACCACCATAGGCTCTGATACTGCCATCTGATTGTGTGCAGCAATTCTTGCATCCAAGACAAGAAGGAGCACTGACAATAACAAGATTGACCTACCATTCTTCTTATCTTGTATGCTCAAATCTGCAATGAATTCAAGGCTTGTACATCTGAAAATTCAGACTTTGTCAGACTTTCATGTTATTGCCACGCTAAGACTTCCGCTAAAACCTTCAGACTTTGTTCCGACATTAGTCGGATAATAAATTATAACCGTTTCACGTTTCAGTTTTAAATTCTAACGGTTTTCAGAAGTCATGTTTTTCACGGTAACCCCCGAATCAGTTTCGCAAAATTAAAAAGTTAGTTTATTTATTTATTTATTTATTCAGAATATTTGCAAAAAATCACGTACTCTGGTGTATTAGTCAGTCGGGGCGTTACAGACTGGTATCAGAGCGCGTTTTTGCGTCTCTGAAAAGTTTTTCAGTCAGAAATTTTCAAAAAGTTTCAGAAAAACCTGAACCGTCACGCTCACCCCTCGCCGACACCAGGTAAGTGCTGATTCAGTTTTTCAGTTATAAACATATTACTTTGTCTATGCTCAGAAATCAGTAATCAGACTTAAGTTAAGATGCTCAAATCAGATTCAGACCTTAGAGTTCAGATATAACTCTAGGATTCAGTGCATTCAGACTCGACTTTAGAGATCAGTATATTCAGATATGACTCTAGACTTTAGAATCTTCAGTATA